TGGTTAGCTGGGCCAGTGTGTGCTGTGATTGGTTAGCTGGGCCAGTGTGCGTTGTGATTGGTTAGCTGGGCCAGTGTGCGTTGTGATTGGTTAGCTGGGCCAGTGTGCGTTGTGATTGGTTAGCTGGGCCAGTGTGCGTTGTGATTGGTTAGCTGGGCCAGTGTGCGTTGTGATTGGTTAGCTGGGCCAGTGTGTGTCGTGATTGGTTAGCTGGACCAGTGTGTGTTGTGATTGGTTAGCTGGGCCAGCGTGTGCTGTGATTGGTTAGCTGGGCCAGTGTCTGCTGTGATTGGCAGCACTCGGCGCCTGGTCGGGAAATGTCAAGTTACCATAGCCGCCTGCGAGCTTCAGTGTAAATATTGCGTCAAAATCAAATCAATTTGAGCACGATTTAAACCTGGATGATTATAAACACTCTAAGTCCGTCTGCCTTGGGAAAGCTAGCGTGTCTCCGGCATGGTGATGACACTCGTTGCCTTCTCTAGTGCAGCTCAACCAGGTCTCGTCCCATTCGTCGATATTTGTGATATCACAAATCCCGGAAAATATGCGTTGTAGTCCAAACGAGTCGTTCGTTGAAGTTTTCGAAAAGTGATTTCTGTAAAATATCTCCTTTTGAAGTGGACTTTAAGCTTTGTAACTTTGCAGATCTTTGTTATGCTCAAACAGCAACATTACAGACTAACTAAACGTGAAAAAGTGAAAAAGCATAATAGGACCCTTTTAAACAGACTCAATAAAACAATACTTTGACTACATGGAAATATACAGAATCGTACAATATACAGTTTTGAAATATCTTAAAAGTTTCTATTTAGCTCTTTAGATGTCTTTGAAGTGAGATTAATCATCTCACATCCTCATTATCCAAGTCCCATCTAAAGTAACATTAGTAATAAAGTGCTTTATATGAGGGAATATCAAATGATTATAATTCTTCATTGCTCACCATAACATCAGTGTCCTTTCTTTTGTTTACTGGCCCTGTTGCTTATTTTAGGAGACACCTGCCATTCAGTCAAGCCATTGCACATGTCCTTTTTGTTTCCATGTGGCTCTTTGTACACTGGTTGTTTAGTAATTACAACCATGCTATCTCCTTGACTTTCAACACTCTCCATGAAACTCTGAAGATCTTTCAGTTTAGCTGTCTGATTCATGCAGTTCTCCACGGATCCTGGTTGAGACTCCACTGACGTTCTCGTAACCTGTTTCGCTAGTGTGCTCTCCCAGTTCTCAACAACAGCTTCATCAGATTTTTCTTCCTCAACAGAGCTACATTTGTTCATTTCATGATATTTCATGACCTCCTTGGAGTTTTCTTCAGGCCAGTCCTCGTCCTGTCCTGTGTCTGATGTCCCACCTTCATTGGCATCATTCTTTGCAGCTCCATCCTGGTTCCCATCAGCATTCTTCTCACTGGTGGACTCGTCATTTGGAGTTTCATCTGACGTTTCACCTTCAATAGGTGTATCGTCTTTATTTGAATTAGATTCACCTCCATCTTCTGCAGACTTGTCTTCTGTACTCTCTTTCCCAGTCTCAGTTTCTGCGTCCCTGTCATCCAATTCAATTTCCTCACCAGTTTCTTTCATCTCATCCTCTTTTTCCACCTCCACAGCCGTATCACTATTTTTTGCACTTGCTGCATCTCCCTTGGGACTGTCTTTCTCCTCACAGTCCTCTTCTGTATCTTTTTCAGTCTCATCCTCAACAATCTCTACTTTCTCTTCCTCCTCAGCATCTGTCTTGCCATTTGCCACCATTTCTTCTTTTACATCCTCACCTTCTTCATTTTCCACCCGTTCTTCACCAGAATCTCTTTTGTCATTTGCTTCCTCTTCATTTGGATCTCTTGTCTCAGAATTTCCAGAGTCTACATCTTTGCCTTCATCTACTGTATTGACAACACCGTCTGGTTCTTGATCTGCCGACTCAAATTTATGGTCTTTAGTATTGTCATTTGCTTCCTCTACCTCTTCATGAACCACTTCTAAGTTGTTCTCTTCTTTCTCAACTGCACAAGTCAAGTTGGTAGAGTGTTGTTCTTCTGTTTTTGGTTCTGTAGGTTGGGCTGGATCCTTTTTCATTTGCAAAATTTTCCGCAGATCAAATTCCATCATAACTGGAGCCAAACTCAAAGCCTGAGCTCGTTGGGCCGTTCTGGACGTCATCTTCTTTTTCATGCATGCATCACATGGGCAGTACTCATCGTCACTGCGCTGATCGCTGCATTCGGTTCCTGACGCAGTGTAATTTTCGTCACTCCTTGACAAGATGGACTTATTGCGCATGACCCGAAGACGCTTGCGTCGCTGCTCAGTGTGGACCGTAGACTCTCTCGATGGAGTATTTCCCGGAGGTCTCGGACCCCTGCCAGCCCGACTTTGGATTTTTTTCAGTTCTCGGTTAATACTCGATTGGATCCTTTTGTGTACTTCCTCTTTCAGCTCAGTTATCATCTTATCGAGCATCTCATTGTCATCCAAATCCCACCTCACTTTGAACTCTGCCATGGCATCTGCGTAATGTAACATGAACTGCTTTTCTAGCTTGTTTAATAAGCTCAGCACCCAAACGGGATCTGGGTCTTGTGAAACCCTTTTAGTAAGCGGAGCTCTCTGAACAGACGTTGGAGTTCCTGAGCTTGTATTTTCTTGAGATTTCATAGTATTACTCTCATTCCCAGAGCTCTTGTAAGAGGTTGTTAGTGGCGTTTGATCTGATTCATTCTTATTCTCACTGCTTTCAACATAGTCTTCTTGCACTGCACCATTTACTTGGTCATCATCCAGTTGTGTATTTACTGGACTCCCCAGGACTTGCTCTGCAGTTTCTGGAGTTACTGGATCTGAGGGGACTTTGGATGGATCTAAACATTCGCATGCTTGAGCTGTAGAATTGACCTGATCTTCTTCATCTTTATCTTGCAGTGAGCCCTCTCGTTTGGCATTTGGTGGTATTATGCCTTGTACAGTCTCTATTTTTTCTAATATGCCATTCATGCTATCTTTAACGGAGCCGGTGGAGCCGCTGCTAACATCAACCCCAGATGAAGACCGTGGGTTAAATTCATCTTCAGCGGAGGGGTGTTCATTTGCGTTCTGGCTTTTCTGCTCATCCTCAGAGGGCTTTTGGAGCCAGAGTGACTGTAGGAGCATCATAACTTCATTATATTTATGATGCTTTTCATTTTTAGAGTCTGAGTCAATCAATCGTAAGTTCGCAAGGCAGTCCAACAGCCCTTGAGCAGACTGGCTTAATTTTCTGCCATATACAGGGGAGACCTCAGGTAAACTATTGGATCTGTCTAGTTTTGGACCCAGTAAAACCTTCATGACCTGAACCGAAGAATGATGTTGCTTTTGCAAACTGTCTTGTTTAATTATTGCTTTGGGGTTGGGATCTATAGTACTTACTTCCAATTGTGCTCTTTCGTCGCACAACTCTCCCTCAACACAAATGTCATTGGTCTCCTGCTGAATAGGATTCTCACCTGCTTGATCATCGTGAGGTTTCTCAACCTCTATTATGCTTTCTGGTGCCTCAACTTTGTCTCTTTGAGAAGTGTCCTCGCCACCTTGAGTCAAGGTCATATCTTCAGTGAGTTCGACATTCATTTCATAAACATGGCCATCAATGGGAATGTTCCTAAGCCAGTCATTCACAACTTCTGTAGGGGAAGCGTTCGGTAAGTATGATGGCATCAGCTCCTTGTTGTTGCACTCCGATGAGATGCTGATTTTGCTGTGTTTGCTCCTGCTGCTTTTCTGGCTTTTATTTTCTACCTTGTCGATATTTTTGGAGGCAACTGACTTTGATCCTCTGCTGACTGGTCTTGCATTGCCGACAATCTCTTTTAACAGATCTGCCGCTGAAAGTGCCCGAGATAAAACACTGTCACTTGAGGAACCAGGATGCTTGAATGATGCTTTATTCTTGTTTGGGATCTCTTGTGCTAGACTTACACAATTTTGGGAAATATCAGACATCCCTGCTGAATTTGGCCTGGATGCATAATTTTTCATAGATCTTCTGTCTGATGCGGATGACAAGGCACCATCACTGTCTCCATTATATTTTATATTCAGTCCATTTATTTCCAAACACTGGGAAGAACATTTAGATCTTTTACATTTAGATCTCTCACTCTCTTTAGTACTGTGCCCATTTTTGAACTTCACAGAATGCTCAGATGTTTTTGAAGAGTTTAAATGGTCACTTTCTGGCATAGATTTTTCAGAGGTTCTTTCACTTTGGTCATGTTTTGAAGATGTTTCATTCATTTCTGCATGGTTGGTGTTGTTGACAGCTTCACAATCTCTGTCTTTCCTAGCTGTATTTTTAGCACTTCCCTGTGAAACTCTCGAGGGTGACTTACTTCGTGAAGATGACAGTGACAAAGTGGAGGGCACTCTGATATTGTTTTCATTTAACTGGCTTCCCGACTTGCTTTTCTTGAGTTCTGCTGACATGATGCTTTCAGCTGAGACAGGTGAGAGAGCTTGAACAGAAGTCTTACAGTTCTTGTTATGGGACTTTTTGGATTTGTCTGAAATTGCAGAGTTCATAGACGTTTCTGTCCTTGGCCTTTCCTCTGCATCCACTCCATTTACATTCTCTAACTGGTGTCCAGCTTTCTCTGTGGTAACTGACATGCCACTGGTTGATCGTTCATCAAAGTCATCACCATTGTGCTCTTCTCCTAGTCCAAGAGAAACGGATGCTGTTGATGTAGGACTTAGAGGTTCATCAAACTGGTTGCCTGCAGACTTAATGTTATCTATAAAAGATTTAGCTGACAGTTTTGATTTTCCTGACAAGCTCTCAGATTCATCTTTGGTATCCTCTTTTAGCATCGTAGTCTTTTGTTCTCTCAAATGACCACTTGAGGAGTTGAGACAATGACATTTACTGGATTTTTGGGATTGTGAGGATACATTAGAGCTTACTGACATCCCACTTGGAGCTCTGCTCTCAGTTTTCTTAATTTCAGTGTTGTGGGTTGACCTAGGAGATGGAGACCTCTTTGACCTAGGAGATGGGGACCTCTTTGACCTAGGCAATGGAGAGGTCACAGTTAAGGAATTCTGTGTCATGTCTTTGCCATTCTCCACTTCCTGAGATACAATGCTCTGTGCAGTGGATTTGACAGATCTTTCAAAGCAGGCATTAGACTTTTCTGAGGTCTGAGACATTGCGCTGGTGGCTCTGTTTGACTCATTTTCTGGAGTTGCACATTCATTAGGTGTTGTATCAATTGGTTCTGAGGAAACTGTGGTTTCTGGAACATTGTGGTTTGATTTGTGGCACCTACAAGATCCTTTAGATGTGTTTGTTTTAACAGACATTGCAATAGGTACTCTTTCCTTAGATTTAGACTCTGCGTGTGAATTCTTTGAGGATGCATGTGACTTCACAGATATTTTGGAGCAGTTGGACAGTGGACTGCATAGTCTTCCTTCAGTGATTACCTCAGTTTCCGGCTCACACTGAACATCAGGACTGCTGGCATTTTGAGTGGCCTTTTCTTGCAAGTCGCAACAAGATTTGACAGACTTAGTTGTTTGCTCTGATGCATGTGACGGATGTTCAGAAGTTCGGTTTGATTTATTAGACATGGCACTAGCTGATCTCACTTCTTGAGGAAACTCTGTGTCTTGTCCACAATGATTATCTGTCGTAGTATGACTCTGAGTAGCAGCACTTTCTGATATATCACCCTGAGAATTAAATAAGTTTGATGGCACTTCTAAATCATTTGGACTACAAGATCTAGGCATGTTAGCATTCTCTGAATGTTGAGACTTTGATTTGTGGGATGTCCTCGATGCAGCTGATAAATTTGAACGGGCTGACATTGGGCTGACAACTCTTTCTTGGCTTTTTTCTTCAGCTTTATCCATTTCCAAGGCTGGTGTGGGCTCCCTCTCTGAAGCAATGCAGTCTGACCCGACTGACCTTACTGGTGTGGCACTTTTGGTTCTTTCTTCAACACTTTCTGCTTCATTATGTTCAGATTTTGATGATTTCCCAACAGAACACATTTCATGTGCAGAGCAGTTGGATTTTTTTGAGATTTTTGAAGTAGAAGAGGCATTTGAATTTTTAGACAGTGCAGACTCAGAGTGTTCCCGAGTGGCTTCCCCTTCTGACATATTATTAACTGGTTCACAGTTTTCATGAGCATTTGAAGTGGATACAGCAGATTTGTTTGACTTTAACACTATGGAATCAGCTTTCTCTGCTTCGCTCCCCTCTGGATTCCCATTAAATCTTTTATGCTCACCACAGCATGAACATACACCAGACTCGCCAGATCGTTTCGACACACCTGATGTGGCACTTAAAGATCTGTTTGCAGCATCTTTGTCACATATCTTCAGAGCATCGGATGCATTGGATCCAGGGGTGTTTGCTTGACCTCTAGATTTACAAGGCGCTTGGCTATGTCTGGAATTTGTATTACAAGCCCCTCCCTTAGGCCCGTGCTGCCTACCAGATGCAACTGAACTTGGGGTTATGGTTCCACACTGACAAGGATGTGATCTGGAGGACACTTTTGAAATCGGAGATGTCATACTCATCCCATCTGGCTCTGCTGGTGCTGCAAAAGTGGTTTTATACTTTTTGAGCTTAAGTGAGTGAACAGCACTGCTTGATTCTTTACTTGGAGGTCTGGGGGACAAATAAGATGTTGGTGAAGACTGGTAGACACAACAATGAACACATTTGGGTTGAGCATCACTCTCAAGATGGTCACTTTGAGACCAGTGTGATGCTCTTGAGATGCTTGGAGGCAGATCATCATAATCATCATCCTGATCTTCCCTCAAAGACTCAAGCACTTTGGATGAGTTGCTGACTGCAGACACCGGACGCTCTTCCATTACCTTAATGACCTCACAATGTGGAGTAGGAGAGATTTTAGGTTCCATATGAGAATATTTAGCTTTAGCGTGACTCTCACAGTCGTCCTCACAAGATCTCTTGCTCTTTGACATGACGCCAACAGATGATACTTCACCTCGATTGCAGCAACAACTTATTGCACAGTATTCTACTCTAGTTTCGCCTTCCTCCATTGTCTGCTGAACGCACACGGCCTTTTCCACCACATGCTCAGTGTACTCACTGCTGGAACAAGAAATTGTGCGTGTACTATCCACCGATGACTTTTTGTGTACAACTTTGTGAGACGATGCACTGGAACTAGATGATTTACAGGCCCCCGTTTCTTTGTGCATGGGGTTTTTCCAGATGTCGTACTCTTGGCAGTGATTGCAACAGTTCTGACAAAGTGTTTCCTCGATATGCTTCTGATGTAGCTTTGTTGCAAAGGCTTCATCAGTCTCTGATGCAGATATGGAGTCTGGGTCTGAAAACTCAGCTTGAGATTGAAGATAATCTGCATCTTTTACAGAGCCAGAGTCGTTCACTTTCACTGATGACTTCTTGATCTCGGTGGACCACTGAAGAGTCTCATCGTTGTACAGCCGAAAGCGAACCTTCATCTCCACAGAAACGCTGCCGTCTTTGTTAACAAGCACTCTTTTCTCAATGTCATCGTTCACTATAACTTCTTTAACATAAGGACAGTTGCTGATGCAACCGGACTGTCCTGGTGTCATGCATATTCCATTTTGATAGGACTTTTCTGAAGAAAGAGAGAATCTTGTAGATCTATTACTGGAGTCTGATCGTGGATGGATAATGCTTTTCTTTGTCTCCAGGCCAAAGTTAACTGTTAAAACAAAATCATAAAAAACAGATAAATAATTTTATCAAGGATAATAACATATTTCAACATGCAAACAACACATTTGAAAGAGGCTCTTGATTCACCAACCCCTACAATAAATTAACTGCGTTTGAGTTGGTGGTAAATGGTTGTTTCATCTTCAGTCTATTATTAGAGACACGTGGGTTGGGTAGATGGTTAGTTAATCACTATAATGACTCACCTAAAACAAATGAATGTAAACGGTAGTTAACTTGAAGTGTGTACACAATAAAATAAAACATTTACCATTCTTTTTGCTTTCATGGCCTTCACTGCAGACACTGGAGTGAGACCTTGTGCCCATTCCTGGAAGCTTTTCGTCTGAGAGCTTCTTCAAGCTTTCCATGAGCAGCGGCCTGAAGGGCTCTCGACCCACACAGACCAGCACACTAGGACACTGCATCAGACTCTGAATATTGTCAATCTATGGAGAGCAGTGAATAAACATAAGACAAAAGTAATTTAACATGTCAAATCCAGTCAGAGATAAAAACGTTAACATCAAACCTTTTAACAACATCCTGACTATAATGTAACCTCATAATTGACTGATTTAAAACGCTTAACCTGGTTGCACTAATGGACACATTTTAGCATTGGAAACCCCTAAATCATCAAAACTCAAACATAATGGTTTGCTGCAATGACAGCAGCAGCATATTAATTTACGTAGGGTGAATTCAGGTAAATTGGGCCACCTTTTATCACTGAGATAACTGGATAAAAATGGCTCAATGATCCTGAATTAACCTTAAATATGTAAATCAACTAATTAAACACAAAATACAGATTTTACATAGTATTTAAAGAAGTAGTTCAACCAGTAATGAGAATTCAGGCATCATGTACTCATTCTTGATATTTTCTTCAAATGACTTACATGGACCATAAAAGGAGATATTCAGCAGAATGCTCTTTTCCATACTAAGAAAGCATTGCATGCTGTCAAATTCCAAAATGAACAAAACATACATCATATTTGTTATAAAAATGTGTTATTGACCAAAAATCTTGCCCAATAGTGATCAAATAGTGCAGAACGTTTGGTTATGAGATACGCAGCAATCATTGGCAATTGCTGTTGTTGTTTGCAAATCCTGAAAATTTACATGCATGAAGGAAATTTTAGAGCAATGGTGGAGGGCAAGCATATTTGAGTAAAGAAGTGACTTTTTATAACAAATTTTACTCGGTTCCTACAAATACAAATCATATGGATCATTTTTATGGTGCTTTTTTGTCCATACTTAAATTTCTCCTATTGTGTTTTACAGAAGGAAAATCGTATGTGTTGGGAATAACATGAGGGTGAATTAAGGTTTTATTTTGGGGGGTGAACCATCTCTTTAAGATGCATATTAGATTAGTAGCTAGCACAACTATTTTCCCAGGGCCTTCAGCTCTGTCCTGAACTGACATCTGCTTCCTAAAATACTTGACCTGGCTAATTAAAGAATGGTTGAAGAAATGAAATCCTCCCTGACCTTACGTCCCTCCAGAGTGTAGAGTTTCTTGACATGACACTGCATGAGTTCTGAAATCTCGTCCATGAAGACGCGAAGACTCCGAGCGGTTCGTCTGCTCAGAATGATGGATCGCCTAACAGTAGGGTCATTGTTTTTTACCAGAACAATCCTTTTGGGGTGCCGATGGTGGTGCTGATGTCCTGAGGGGGGCTCCTCAGGTCGGGAGGGCTTGCGGCGAGGGTTATGCGGGTGACTGTGATGGTGCCAGACCGCCGGCCTCTTCCCCGCAGCTTCCATGTTGATTGGCTTAACGTAGCGGCGGTCAGAGCACAGGTAACAGCGTCCGTCCTCTAACTGCTCTAAATGTTTAATGCTGTGGGTCCCCCTGGGGGTCGTGATGGTACGCACACCAAAAGGTAGAGGAACCTTTTGGGAAAGGTCATCCAATAAGGCATCAAAGCATCTGAAACTGCGCTTATGGATGGCCATCTTGACACCTTTGAACTGAACGTCGCCACTCTTGTAGAAGTTAATTCTCTTGGCTGGGCTGGCCGCAGTCACGCTGGAGCCAAAGGACGACGCTGGAGGATGAGGAAACTGATGAGGTTCATTCTGAAAATGGGTATTGGCATCAAAGGAGCCTTGGGTCGTCCTCTGCATCTTTCCTCCACATCAATTCAAGCTGCGGAGGGAAGTTTGGAAATGTGAATGATGTTGAAACTCACAATCAACACAGATTTCAAAATTCAAACCCAGAAACAATCTTCATAAAATATGAATTTACGAAGAGATTACATTAAATGGAGACTCTAGTAATGAGTCTGCTGTAGTTTAATTGCCCTCAAATCTGCCAAGAAACCACAGTCTGTATTGTAATCAGAATACTATCATCAAAACTCATCAAACTCTTCTAAGATCAAATCGTCTGCCATCCATATTCATTTCATAGCGTCATAGTTTCACAGTTGTTTCTATATTTATTCCTGCTAATTCTGACAATTGAGACTCAAGCCTCATGTTGGAGAAACCCTGAAAAATATTTTCTCCTAGGAACAGAACACCAAGATTAAGCTTCAAACATGTCAGGTAACTCAAGCCAAGACAGGTATTAAGTCTTCAAACTCTCAATCAAAGATATAGTTGCTAAAATATCACTATTTGATCATTTAATTAGATTTAACCAGAGGTGGAAAAACATATAGATACAACATTTATGTTATGAATGTCTCTGAAGTGCATCCTTATACTGATGGGAATACCATGGTACTGTATGAGTGGCATATTCATACAGTGAACAATGGCATTGACATGGTACTCCAAAGAACATCATGGTATTACAGAAAACAGATATTGTGATGAAAACTGCAATCATACCAACTTTTCAGTGTACTTGTATTATACTGCCATTTAAATGTGTAAGCAACCCAGTCCAGAGATTAATCTCATGCTCTTCGGGAAACAATTACAGACTAGTTTAAATTGCATTTAGTTCTTAGTCCTTAATAGGCACTTTAATCTAACATTTAAAGAAGTTCAAGAGCATGATCTCTGAGCAAAGCTTGCAAATGAAATAATTTTATGTGTATTAAACTGAGACTAAAGTTGTTTTTCTTATAATCAGATATCTTATGAAAAAATAAGGTAGTTGAATTTAAATACAAAATGCACAAATTCATTTCATGACAGTCCAAACTGAATAAAATTACAGTGTATCTTGACATATGCAATGTTCTAATTCTATTTGTATAACATGTAAATAAACAATCCATATTTAACCACAAAAGCCTACTGCATCGAGCATGTTTTCAATGAACAATTCGCCTTGTGAATAATAAAAAAAATGAGTTTAAACAATTAAAATAGCATTATTTCAGCAATATCTCAGCTCAATATAAAAACAACAGTATATAAAGTATATATAATATAAACAACATACTTACGTTTACAGAATGCATTATCATATCTGATGCTAAAAAAATAAAAGTACAACTGTGCAAAATGTGACAAAGAAAAAAAAAATCTGACTATACAGAGCAATGTTCCAGGCAGCATCCAAGCACACAAATGCTGGAGGGATGCAAGTTCACAAGCCCTCCCACAAACAGTCTGGTCACTAATCAGAGCCTTTGGTGGCTAAGGATAGAACGAAAAGCTTCTTTAATCATCTTTGAGATTTGACTGAACTCTAGGGAAGCGTTAGACACATGACAGCGACACCAGGATTGCATGAACAGAGCTGTGCAGAGCCATGAGACATCTGCTTTCTGATCCCTGATGACAGGCTGGTTTGTGTATACTCTACAAACATGTCATTGAAACGATGATGCACCAAACACACAGACTGAAAATACACTTGTTGTCAAATTCACTCCAGTCCTCTAATGCTTGTATCTGGGTCCCCATATAGTATATCCTTTATTTTTTCGCATACATACAGTAGCCTCATGTAAAGTAATATATAAATACTATATGGCTAATCTCAACTGCTTGAGTGTTTGTATCATCTCAAATTGTAACTATATTGTCACTCAGCTCTTTATATAAAGTTGGATATATCATATATGTCTTTATCTTTATATAATTTTATCCACATACATACAATATAGTCATGTAAAGCAATATATAAACACTGTATAGCAAATCTCAACTGCTTGACTGTTTATATCTTTGCAAAATGCAACACCCAGCCAGCTCTGCTAAATGTGACCATAAGGCATGAAGATATTTTAAACATTATCATCATGACGCTTTGGGATTATGTATTGTTAAAAGCACTATACAAATAAATTTGTCATGACCTTGAAAACTTTATATTATTAAAAATGATGTGATGTAATTTAATAATTATAAAACAATTGCATAATTTAATAACTAAATTAGATGTATATATTGTCTTAATGTTATATTAAATTATATTTTCATATTATAATAAATATTATTATATTTTTTCCATTATTTTTGGGGGTGAAATATAATTCTGATGTTTTCATGGCATGCTCTTTGAAATTCACTCAGATATGACGTACATGCCATAACTTAAATAGAAAAAAAAAAATAGTATTAGTATCTGTAATTACAACGTTAGAAGACTTGAACTGTTCATAGAAAAATTGATTTAATAGTGAATATTTTCTGTGAACCTTCCTTACTGGAAAGTCATTGTCTCTATAATATCTGCCTGGTACTTCATTCGTATTGATTTATATGCAGTTTCTAAGGGCACCTTAAGATGAAAGTGAACAGGGCCTTCAGTGAATGGCTGCTTATTCTCTCTGAATCCTGCAGTGCCATATTGTTACCTTACACTTTTCAATTAAAACAAGTGAGTATTTCATGAATTTTTTTTTATTTGTACACTGAAAAAATTGGTGGAGAAGCAATTTTAACTCAGTAATTTATTGGTAAATTTTACATAAACTTGTGATAACACTGACTGTTGCTCGCTCTAGTACTGTACTGCCAAAGTACAGGCTTACTGTAATCTCAGGAAAAGACAGCACATCCTCGTACTCTTAACTGACCCACTATTAACCACTAGCTGAAGGAACATTAATACGGATGCTTGTAGGTTCTGTGTTTAATCCCGATTCTTTTAATGGCACACCAAGCACAAACCCCATTTAATTAGAGATAATTAATTACTAAACATCTCTGAGAGGTGTACATATATTTGACACTAATTATAAATCTCTAAAGGCTGAATTAACAGTTGAAAGTGCTACACATGATTTCCACAATTAGTAACTGAGATCTTGGCAGCCCACTGGGAGAAACCTGCAACACAACACTGTCAGATCACTGAGAGTGAGGGAAGATTGTTTTGAGACTCATGGGATACGTGTGAGAAGAGGTAGGAGACTCGCAACAGCTTTAACAGCTCTGAAATACAAATATACATCTGTTCAGTATGGAAGCCTGTGTCAGCCACAGAATTAAAAAAAAAAAGGTAATTGTGACTTTTTCTCTCGTAATTTCAACTTTTTTCAAGATTATATTTGACAGTTTTGACTTTTTATCTCAGAACTATGAGATATAAAGTTGCAATTATAAGAAGAAAGTCTGAATTGCGAGATATAAAATCAGAGTTGCAAAATATAAACTCAGAATTGTGAGGAATAAACTCAGAATTCTGAGATAAAGTTGCAATTCTAAGAAAAAAGTGAATTATGAGATAAACTCATAATTGCATGATATAAAGTCACAGTTTTAATAAAAAAGTCTGAATTGTGAGATATAAAATTGGAGTTGCAAAATATAAACTCAGAATTGTGAGGAATAAACTCGCAATTCTAAGAAAATAGTCTGAATTATGATACAGCCTAAACTCAGAAATGTGAGATATAAAGTTGCTATTTTAAGAAAAAAATGATTTGTGAGATAAAAACAGAATTGTGAGATATAAACTCAAATTCTAAGAAAAAGTCTGAATTTTGAGATATAAAATTAGAATGGCTCGTGATTCTGAGAAAAACTAATTGTGAGATATAAACTCAGAATTGTGACAAACTCAGAGTCAGAATTGCGAGATAGTCGAAATTCTGAGAAAAAAAGTCTGAATTGCGTGATATAAAATCAGAGTTGCAAAATATAAACTCAGAATTGTGAGATATAAATTCAAATTCTGAGAAAAAAAGTCCAAATTGCGAGGAATAAACTATGAGATAAGATAAGAAAAAAGTGAATTATGAGATAAACTCATAATTGCATGATATAAAGTCAGTTTTAATTAAAAAAAAATCTGAATTATATAAAATTGGAGTTGTAAAATATAAACTCAGAATTGAGGAATAAACTCGCAATTCTAAGAAAAGTCTGAATTGTGATATAGCCTAAACTCAGAATTGTGAGATATAAAGTTGCTATTTTAAGAAAAATGTGATTTGTGAGATTAAAAAAAAACTGTAAATATAAACTCAAATTCTAAAAAAAAGTCTGAATTGAGAGATAAATTCAGAATTGTGAGATATAAAGTTGCTATTTCATGAGAAAAGTCTGAATCTTGAGATATAAAATTAGAATGGCTCGTGATTCTGAGAAAAAAGAATTGTGAGATATAAACTCAGAATTGTGACAAACTCAAAGTTAGAATTGCGAGTCGAAATTCTGAGAAAAAAGTCTGAATTGCGAGATATAAATAAAGAATTGCAAAATATAAACTCAGAATTGTGACAAACTCAAAGTTAGAATTGCGAGTCGAAATTCTGAGAAAAAAAGTCTGAATTGCGAGATATAAATAAAGAATTGCAAAATATAAACTCAGAATTGTGAAATATAAACTCGCAGTTCTAAGAAAAAACTGAGATACAAAATCAGAATTGCAATATAAACAATTACCTTCATTATTATTATTATTATTATTATCACCATCATCATCCCAGCGGCTATTTCATGAAACAAGTTTACCAAATAAACCAGGCTTATTTCAGTTAGTCTGACTTATTTTGAACCAAATCAGCTGACAATAAGTCAGACTAACTGAAATAAACCTGGCTTATTTGGTAAACGTGGTCTGAATTGCGAGATATAAATAAAGAATTGCAAAATATAAACTCAGAATTGTGAAATATAAACTCGCAGTTCTAAGAAAAAACTGAGATACAAAATCAGAATTGCAATATAAACAATTACCTTCATTATTATTATTATTATTATCACCATCATCATCCCAGCAGCTATTTCATGAAACAAGTTTACCAAATAAGCCAGGCTTATTTCAGTTAGTCTGACTTATTTTGAACCAAATCAGCTGACAATAAGTCAGACTAACTGAAATAAATCTGGCTTATTTGGTAAACGTGTTTCATGAAACAGGCCCCAGGTAGAAACAAGCTTTCATTGTTTGAAAATAAAAAAGAATAATTAGCATAGCACTTAAAAACAGTGTCAAATGATTTCCATAATGCTGACTATCCAATGCTGACCAAGATCATTAATGCTTACTTAATGCACTTAACAGCACCCATGTTAGTCAGAGATGCTAGATATTAGTCACTTTTGAACAGAAAAAAACCCATGTCCTTGAAAATGTTTTGTCTGTTTTTCAAGTGAGGCGTGAAAGTCTGAAATGAGAACTGTAAAATATGAAAACAAGAAACGCTTTAAAATGCTAGAGACAAAGACAACAAACCTCACATGATTTGTAACACTGCTAAGTTTGACATTCAAAGAATATATCCGTTCATCTGGCAGTACTCAACATCATTATAGAAACCAATAATTATTTCATAAAGAAAACAGTTGCATTGACAGCTCTCACACAAATAAATAATTTAGTCTGTAATCTATATTCACATTCTTTCAGTTTAGCTTTGATCTCTTACTTAACCAATGTGCTGACTGCATATTCCACTAAAAACAATTGAAAAACAGGCCTTTTTATTAGCCAAACAGAACCATCTTGATGCTCTGTCCTAATTCCACACACCGGCTTACCCTGCAGGCACAGATTCATTCTGCTCGGCTGCCAAATCCTCCAAACTTTGACAATATTTCTGATGTAATCCAGTAAGAGAATCCAACAGGTTTTCTCACAATAAGCAGCGCTCCTTCCTCCGGACGAAACAGACACAGCGTTTGAAATCATGGCGTTGCCTCCTGGGAGGAGTGTCACTTTCCACCCACGACGATGAGCCACGGATGTGCCACAGCTGCATATTGTCTATCCACACTCATTCATTCCCGTCCTTGAAAATGTTTTGTCTGTTTTTCAAGTGAGGCGTGAAAGTCTGAAATGAGAACTGTAAAATATGAAAACAAGAAACGCTTTAAAATGCTAGACAAAGACAACAAACCTCACATGATTTGTAACACTGCTAAGTTTGACATTCAAAGAATATATCCGTTCATCTGGCAGTACTCAACATCATTATAGAAACCAATAATTATTTCATAAAGAAAACAGTTGCATTGACAGCTCTCACACAAATAAATACTTTAGTCTGTAATCTATATTCACATTCTTTCATTTTAGCTTTGATCTCTTACTTAACCAATGTGCTGACTGCATATTCCACTAAAAACAATTGAAAAAACAGGCCTTTTTATTAGCCAAACAGAACCATCTTGATGCTCTGTCCTAATTCCACACACCGGCTTACCCTGCAGGCACAGATTCATTCTGCTCGGCTGCCAAATCCTCCAAACTTTGACAATATTTCTGATGTAATCCAGTAAGAGAATCCAACAGGTTTTCTCACAATAAGCAGCGCTCCTTCCTCCGGACGAAACAGACACAGCGTTTGAAATCATGGCGTTGCCTCCTGGGAGGAGTGTCACTTTCCACCCACGACGATGAGCCACGGATGTGCCACAGCTGCATATTGTCTATCCACACTCATTCATTCCATTAGGCTAATTATCACAGGCAGACCTTCATCCAGAGAGGAGGAGGAGGAGAAGTGGGACTCCTCTGAAAGAGGATTATACTGTGTGACCATCTGTGCCAGAGGGAATTAACTCTTAGATCTCCAAAATCAACCTGTTGTACTTGATTTAGGCATAAAAAACACAAAAAGAAAACTATAAACCAACAAAAAGTTATACTGCGTATATGTAGACCTACGTTATGCTAGTCATTTTTCTTAATATTATGAAACCAGATCTAATATTATTATCAAACAATTATTATGGGGGCAAATATAGTATGCAATTTACGCAATTCTTCATATTATAATCAAACCAAATATTGTTCTTAGCATAATATCAAATAATATTATGATTAATTACAATAACTATTATTCATTATTAAGATTATATATAATACAAAATTAATAAAATTATTACACATTAATAAAATAGCGTTGGAAATGTACTTTATTATGAAAATAAAATAACATTATTATTATTGTGATTTTTTTAAATTAACTTAAATGATAGAGAGAGACACTTTTATACTATATTTATACAGAGAGAGAGAAAAAGAGAGAGAGAATTAAACATTAAAATTTAAGAATTAAATATTAATATTAAGCACAATAACATCCTTAAAGGGTTACTCCACCCCAAAATGAGAATTATAAAATGGATAGTTCTGGTCCTTGAGTCTGATTGGTTGAACCAAGTTCAAAGCCGTTGTAAATTACTCTGCAAACATACACCTTTGTTTACATTTGTGTGCTGCTCGGGAACCACTTTGTTGGAACCACAACCGTTTCTGAGGAACTACATTGTTTAGCGATTTTATTCATATCATTACACTTTATTTGCTCTGTTTTATTTAGTAAAACCTTACTACGTATATGGAATAACAGTTTTATAAAAGCAATAAGCCCCGTGAAGCCGTGGTTTACAGTGAATTTATAACAGCTAAGGGGGTTGTGCACTCTGCTTAGCGTCGTACCTAACAACGCCCGTTAGCCGTTATAAATTCACTGTAAACCACCGCTTCCTGAGGCTTATTGCTTTATTTTGTCATTAATTACTCACCCTCATGTTGTTCCAAACCCGTAAGACCTCCAGTCATCTTCGGAACACAAATGAAGATGCACAATAACATCCTTCCTTAAAGGGTTACTCCAAAAATGAGAATTATAAAATGGATAGTTCTGGTCCTTGAGTCTGATTGGTTGAACCAAGTTCAAAGCCGTTGTAAATTACTCTGCAAACATACACCTTTGTTTACATTTGTGTGCTGCTCGGGAACCACTTTGTTGGAACCACAACCGTTTCTGAGGAACTACATTGTTTAGCGATTTTATTCATATCATTACACTTTTTTTGCTCTGTTTTATTTAGTAAAACCTTACTACGTATATGGAATAACAGTTTTATAAAAGCAATAAGCCCCGTGAAGCCGTGGTTTACAGTGAATTTATAACAGCTAAGGGGGTTGTGCACTCTGCTTAGCGTCGTACCTAACAACGCCCGTTAGCCGTTATAAATTCACTGTAAACCACCGCTTCCTGAGGCTTATTGCTTTATTTTGTCATTAATTACTCACCCTCATGTTGTTCCAAACCCGTAAGACCTCCAGTCATCTTCGGAACACAAATGAAGATATTTTTTATGCATTTTGAGAGCTCTCTGACCCTCCATACACAGCAATGTAAGTAACACGATCAAGGTCCAGACACGTAGCAAGGAGATCGGTAAAATAATCCATGTGACATCAGGGGTTCAACTGTAATTTTACAAAGCTACGAGAATACGTTTTGTACGCAAAGAAAACAAAAATAACGACTTTATTCAACAATTCGTCTCCTCCGAGCCACCATAGCGCTATTTTGGAGAGTATCCACTGAACGTAAACAGCGTATGTTGTTCTGTGTCAGCCGTACCAGACGGATACGTTTTCTACATTTATTTACACTTTGATTTAAACGAAAACAACGTGGTCCGTGTGTTGCGGCTGACACAGAACAGCATACGCTGTTTGCATTCATAGGATATTCTCCAAACTGATCATATATTTTGTTAATATATATAAATATATAGGGATTAGGGCTGTCATCGTTAACGCGTTAAAGCATGCGATTCATTTTACAATCCTTAACGCGTTAAAATAATTGAACGCAATTAAAGCAAAATTACTGAAGCACAATTTCTATTCTAACCCTTTAACCCAATTTTGCTACTCTGCTTGCGATCAGATCATTTTAAGCTGCTAAACTCCGGGAAAGTTTTCAGTCCAATGATCCAGTAAGCAGAGGCGGACAGTAATTAAGTACATTTACTTGAGTATTGTACTTAAGTACACTTTTTGAGTATCTGTACTTTACTTGAGTATTATTTTTTCTGGAAACTTATGACTTTAACTTCACTACATTTGAAAGACAAATATTGTACTTTTCACTCCACTACATTTCTATCAAGGTCCTCGAAGTAGAAAGTCGTTACTATGTAGCAGCTTTGAAAGTCAGTGGGTGATTTTTTTCTTCTCTAAAACGTGACTCTCTTTTTTTCACACAGTTTATCAGTAATCAGTCTTGGGGTTACATGAAGTGATTTCCCAGTATTTTTTGAACACTGCCCAGTTGCAAACGTGATATTTATTTACAATAATTCAATAATAAGAAGTTAATATTGTGGTATATGTTAGAAACAATATATTGTCCGATTTTGCTTAATTGTGTACGTGCAAATATTACCTATAAAGCCACAGAAGAACTGTTGTGTGTCTCCTAATAAAACACAATAGGTGTTGGACTTGAAGCAGCATTGCAGACCGCTCTGTGTGTGACATCAAAGTACCACGAGAGAGCGATTAGACAGCATTAAAAAAAATTGTTTTTTGATGTCAAATAGGTCTTGCTGTTTTGCTTTTTTGTTAAAGCAGTGTTGCTGTTGTAAAGTTGTACAGCTACAGTTGTGTTGCTGGGTTTTAAAGCAGGTTTGATTTTTTTTCTTCCTTATCGGTCTGTATTTACAGGGGAGTAATATTTGACCAGCAGTATCTGTACTTTCACTCAAGTAATAAGAGTTGAGTACTTTGTCCGCCTCTGCCAGTAAGCGAATGCATTCAAACAATCCGTCCAAAACAGCGCAAATATAAAGGAAGCCAGGCTGATTACATCAGAGATTGCAGAGAGAACAGAGACTCACGTTGCCTTTTCAGTGAATTATTCATTCCAGTGTGTTTCGCTTTAAAACACAAGCTCTGCTCGTTTTGATTTGTCATGTTTATGTTGCTGTGTTTAGTTATACTGAATGGATCCATGTAATGTAGTAGATATATGCAGTCAGCAGGCGGTTGGTTTAGGTTTTTTTGGCATCTCCATGTGGTCCTGTTCGGTATCGCAACTTGGCTTCTCTAAAACAGAGATTGCAGAGAGAACAGAGACTCGTTTTGCGTTTTAAGTGAATTATTAATTCCATGTGTTTCGCTTTAAACACACACTGTGTGAAGTACAGACTGAACGGATTGTCAACACATCCCACCGCTGTATGGCCAGATGAGACGCAAACTACGTTTTCTCGACTGGATAACCAGTCTTGCTAGTAAAGTTTTGATGGATGTAGACTGCAATCAAGGTAAAGACGATTGCGGTGGCGTACAAGAGTTGTACTGTACAGTAAGCATGCATTAGACCGTTATAATAATGCGTGTATGAGCATGATTTACCTCTTTTCGTGACATAGGCAAAACAAATTTTTGGGCCCCCCTTCCCTATTAATATAATAGGCCTAATATTACCACCCAAGCAAACAAAAATATTTCTTAATCAGTGGAAACGTTACAGTGTATTCTATCGCAATAAGCGCTTGCGTTCAGTCAATAAAAATTGAATGTATAGCTAATTTGTTTGAGAACTCAGAAAGACCATCCCATTAATAGGCGCGGCGTACCACTTCGGGAGTTATTTCTCTAATAATTTGAACGGCCAGGAGTCACAACCACACATCAAGATATTGTTCAGATGATTTGTTTCAAGACATCTGACATGTTTCCGTCCTGAAATGTGTTGGAACTTTTTTTACGCACCTCATCCCAAACCTTCCATTGCAAATTCCAGCGATATATATATATATTAATAACGGAGGCTTGAGCCATTGATATGCAGGCTAACGCAGTTATTAATGCA